AAATATTAAAAAAAAAAGAAATGTTGAGGGAATGATCTGCAGGATGTTGGGAATCTCCCACATATTTTTCACTTTTGGGTCCTCTTTGAAATCAGATGTTACTGAATTCTCCATTTTAATTATTCAACCCAGTTCAGCAGCCAGGCAAATCGGCAGAGGCCTTCTACAACCTTCACCTGGTGACAAATGTAAATCCTTTAGAGCAGTGTCTGACACAGCAGCCCTATCTGTGAGTTTAGCACATGGAGATGGCTCAGTAGAATAAGCGCTGGCCTGGCAAGCGCAAGGGGTTGAGTTCAATCCCCGGTTCCGCCAAAAGAAAATAGAAATGCTGGAATCTAGGCATGCAAGTGGTTCCCCAGGCCCCTCAGCACCCCCAGAAAACGAGAGGGCCAGCCACAGAGCTCAGCGGATTAAAGTGCCTGCAGGTGCAGGGGGCCAGGTTCCATCCCTGGGCCTGATGTGCTGGCCCCGCCCCTGGGGGCGCGCTGAGACGGCGAATGAGACTGGGCAACAGGCAGATCGCTATGAGTGACTGAGTAGTGAGGCCCTGAGCACGCTGTAGACTCTTCCCTAAACTAAGAGTGAGTGAGACGTGTTGTTGTAGCGCGCATGCTGCCGAGGCGAGCGCATTCTTGCTGTTTGCAAGTTCTGGCTGACAGCTGTTGGAGGGAGATCGCGGCGTGCACTGTGGGTGGCTCCTTAGGCTTTGTCCGAGTGACTGCTTCCACCACTGTCCTCCAGAGCTGGACCTCGGCCTTCAGCTGCTCCGCAGAGAAGGGCTGTGGGTGGTGACTTTGTCCGTTGATGACGTGCCTCCCTGCCTGGCCTGCAGGTGGCAGCATGCCCCGGCCGCCCTGCCCTGTCCTGAGACTGGGCTGCGGCAAGAAAATGGACTCCCTTCTCCCTGGCTCGCGTGGCTGCCAGCCACAGCTGTGGGAGAGTGTGAGTGGGGCTGGACTGTTCTCTTGTCCCTTCCACGGTATGTGTTCTTTCGTACAGGAATGGCATAAATCATGGGTACAATTTTAAGATTATTGATTTTCAGAGATTGTTTTTCAAGACCAAACTGTAGCTGGGAAAGCAACGATATAGGCGAGAAGTGACAAGGTGGCTCCCGGAGGTTGTAGACGGCACGGGGGCCGAGGGCCTTGTCCCCCGCACTGTCCCTACCCTGTGCCTTTCACCTTTGCCAGGCGTGAGCAGGGAGGGTGCCGAGCCCAGGCGGTGGGGGAGGCCTCTCGCACTCCGCTCCTCCCCGCAGTGTCCTCAAGGTTGACTGCACAGAGCGCCGCGCATCCCGGCCGCACGTCCCTGCGAGGTTTCTGCCCGCCAGCTCCTTGAGAGCCTCGCCCCTCCAGTCCTCTCCCCTGGCACAGAGTAATCTCACAGTTCTATCTTATTTACCCCAAGACTGTGCTGCTGTCCTTACAGTTGAAGAGAGATTGTTTATGCTGTTTCACGTCCATTTCTTTGCTTTGGATTCAGTAGAAAACAGCTCTTAAGTATATTTCGAAATAAGCATACCTTTTCCCCTTGGCGCCAAAGGCTACTGTAAACTTCTTGACATTCTGTGGTGCAGTCTGTGAAGATCTTCCTTGAGCTCCAGCGACCACTACGTTTGTCGATGCCTTTGCCTTCGTTGCAACCCCTGTGAGGCCCTACCTGGTAAGGATCCTGTGACATCTGCCCTGCTGTCATGACACTTTTTTTTTTTTTTTTTTTTT